TACAAAAATAAATTTCAGTCAATTATTTGTAACATTATAAATACATTAATAAACACATTTAAAACTATTTATATAAATTGTTTGGATTATTTAGCTAGAATAAATAGGAATATTTAAATTGATAGTTTAAAGTTCACACATACATACATTTGTAGCAATCTTGTAGCTTTCTCATTTTGTCAATTCATTCATTGAATCAAACAAATATCAATTCAAACCTAAAGGTATGTCCACATGAGGAGTGTGACAATCATAACAATGAAACCAATTTTTCATAGTTTCGTTCATTTCTCATCCTTTGACTCCTTTGAGTTCATATCAAACTGTCCGCTGTCTTCTAAGTCACACAATTCGAGTGACTCTTTGCGAGGATTACTGGCCGTCTGTTCCTCTTCATAGTCGGGCACAAAGAGCCCCGCATTTCGTCTCTTTTGGGGTGTCTTCGCATTCAATGCATTCTTCATAATAACAAACATTTCTATTAAATACAACAATTGGTGCAAACCTTTCGCAAGAATTACCTCTTTCTTAGACATGACATCACTTTTACGAAAACTGAAGAATCGCCTCCAGAGCTGCCATTTATGAACTTTTATAGTATTACTTAATCTGAGTTTTTCACTGATAAATGTTTCCTTAGTATAGGATTTGTCGAACACTTTGGAGGAGCGACCCAAGTGTTTGGCAGACTGTGCAAGGTCCAAACAGGAATAGGCACAGCGGAGTCGACACTTCATTACACTTCTGGTGCCCCATAACTTAACGGAGGTAAGGGTTGAGTCATCCTGAAGTACCTGTGAGGCGGAGCGACCTATAAGTCAATAATTATAACATTCACATAATTACATGAATATTAAAATATCACAGAATATCAAGAATATAATCAAGAATCACAGAATTGACCTCTAAATGGATGCTGAGCTGAGATGTAGTCTTCAGATACTTGACTTGAGTTGAGGTGTTTTGTCATTTATCACAAACAAAGGCATCACTTGTGAAAAGATGAGAAATATTTGTTCAAATATATGACATTGAAATATAAAGTATATGTTAATAGTGTCACAGACTCTGTAGCGTAAAACATCGAAATAAATTCATGTTTGGCTGGGAATTGATGTCAAATGCAGTCATTAATACATTAGAAAACCCTTCGAGAGGCTAATTGATAATTAAGGCTAAAGTTAATCAATAGTGTAATTGCACTGAAGGTTTTCAATGGAAACAATAATGTGATATACATTTCATATGTAATACAATAGAAAAAAGTTGTGATTTTCTCTGTAACTTAGGTTCGGGTGACTCCACCCTTCCCTATGTTATCGTAATATTCTAATTGTAATTATGACTGTAATCTCGTTAATGGCTAAACATATTCAGAAATGTACTAAAAGTGTTGGTCTGTATGTCTAATACAAAACTGAGCCATTGTTTTGTCTCTACGGCTACTCTCCCGATAGTGACCCTCAACTAAAACGATCATTATTTTAATTATTTTCTATTACTGGCAATCAATACAATACAATTGCCCATACACGTGTGTAATACGTGAAAGTACATTTACATTTTTTGATACACTAATTATAATCCGATAGCTTATCTAAAAATAATCTTTTGCTCGATTCTGACCGATAGTAGTCAACAGAATTTTAATGACTTTTATATATAAATAAGCTTTAAATTAAAATCTCAATTTTTCAAAAACATAAGCTTAATGTTCTGGTTTAATTAATTTAGATATGTTTTTATTATAAATAAATTTTGTATATCGATACTGTCACAAAGTATATTCAAAATAATTATTTATTCATTAGTAACATTTATACAAATATATTCGACAATTAGTGAAATAATTACATTATAGTCATATATTAATTAATAAATTATTCATTTGTTTAACTCATTTAGTAATATATGAATAATTACAGAGACCTGAATTTAATATTAACTGTTTACCTAAAATAATATTCTCAATTAAATATTGATCATTTGGTTTATGGAATTTATTTCTAAATATATTATTTACATACATAAATATTATCTATTATATTTAAAATATTTAAACAAATTACATTTTAACTTTCAATTACATTTTACATATAATACATATTCTGTATATTTCTAATTAAAATATATTATTCATATGATATGAACCTATCTTATATATCAAATATACATTTATTTCAAATATATTCTTTAATTTTAAGTCTAGACTATAGAGTATAAGTAATATCCTATTTGACCACAACTTCAGGCATTTCTGTAGAGCTATTAATATCTGTATTTACATTATTATTATTTGCATCAATTGAACCATTATTTTCTTTCACTTCAATTACTTTAATCTCTTCAGACTTTTTATCTTCTTGTGTCTCAACCTCTTTTGTATTATTTTCTTCAGTATTATCTGAAGGTGAAGTGTCTTCTGGTATCTTATCTTCGGGACGACTATCTTCTTGTGTCTTATTTTCAGACACACTCTCTTCGCCAATATTTTCATCTGATTTCTTCTCTTCGATGAAGTTTTTATCGACAGTTTTATCATCAGTTTTCTGCTCTTCAGAGCTTTTATCTTCAGTTTTATTGTCAACTAAATCATTGTCTTCAGAGGGCTTTACTTCAGCACTATTTTCATCATTTTTCTTCTCGTCACCAACTCTTTCATCCGATGCCTTCTCATCCGCTTCTTTCACTTCAATTGGTTTCTCTTCAGACACTGTTTCTTCACTTTTTGCTTCAGTCGATACATTTTCATCAACTTTTTCGTCGGTCTTCTTATCGGATTCAACACTCTTTGTCTCAATGATTGCAATATTATTTGTTTCATTGGTTTTTTCATCCTTTTTCTCATTGTCTGCTGTTGTGGTCTTAATCTCATCGTTGGGTTTGTTATCGATGTGTTGGTCGACAACAATCTTTGTCTCACTTTTCTGTACAATAAATAAGTATTTAATACAATTGTTTACAATAATTATATTTTCTAATTTAATATACTTTAGTAGTCTGTTCCTCCTGTTCCTCATCCTTTTCATTGAGTTCTGTGTTATACATAATCCCACCCCTAATCCAACGCCTCCACAAGTCGGCACTCGTGCGGACTCTGACCCTCAGATTGACGCCTCCTTTCCTAATGCGAGAAAATATGGTTTTTGGCTTTTTTGGTGCGTTTAGACCATAAGATGTAGGCATCGATCTCTCTATCTTTGCCACTAATATGGCAAATGAAATGAAAATTATATATATTTTTCATTCAAATTAATTTATATTTTAAAGAAAAGAATAAATTATCATAAAATTGAATTCAATTTTTTAAATTATCTATGCACTAATTTTATTTTATTATTTTAATCTAATTTGTATATTATATTATATTTCAGATTAAATCAATTTTACCTTTTATAACATAATATTATTGAAAATAATAAAACAAAAACAATACAATTCTGTGAACATTGATCCATAAATTAATGCATTTATTACAATTTAATATGAATTGTTATATAAATTATTAATTTTTTATTGCTTAAACTTAGCCTTATTTTCAATATAATAAATTAAAAGCAAAACGAAAGTTACAAATATTATAGTTTCATAAAAATGATAATAAAATGAGACAAACCTCTCCTTCTTTTACTGAAATCAAAGGCTGTGACCCTTTTAATCCATTTGAGGTATCTAGGACATATTTTCTCCAATTCATCCTTTTTGAATTCCTTAGGATTAAAGTAAGGAACCGTTGAAACTGGAGATATACGAGACATTTGACATCGGATTTACTGCGAGATAACTCTGAGATTATCTCCAGAAATCACTTATATTTCCAAAAATATATATTTTAATGTTGATAATAATAATTAATATTAATATCAACAATAATATCACTGTTTGTATAATAAATGGATAACACAATTAATATTTGATTATATATTGAGAGCAAAATAGTGTACAAATGTTTGAAAAATTATATTATATTATACGATATTTGGCCACAGAATCGACAGTGAGATGCAAATAAAATGCACAAAACATTCATTCAATTTATGCTCTATTTTGCTAATTATAATCCACTGACTATTACATTAAAACCAATGCTATNAAAAATTATATTATATTATACGATATTTGGCCACAGAATCGACAGTGAGATGCAAATAAAATGCACAAAACATTCATTCAATTTATGCTCTATTTTGCTAATTATAATCCACTGACTATTACATTAAAACCAATGCTATGAGGAGGACAGTCATCAGAGATTTGGATCACGTATTCACTACAACTGCAACTGTGAGGGCTTGGTATTGAAATTATGACAATTATGTCGATTGCCACCACTTTTGCATTATATGACTATAAATAAGAAAAAGTTTCACAATCATTTCAAAATCGATTAATTGATTACAAAAGTATCAGTTTGAAAGACAGTATTCAATACCCTTTCATACATAAAGACATTAATGAACACTATTTTTAAAAAATTATTGTTTGAATAAAAAAAATATTATTAATGAAAATGGAGAATACATGAGAATTTTTCGCAAACATACCGTCAGATTAATTAAACTAATGGCCAAACACTACAAAACAGTTAATGTTTTTATTTTTTTCGGTGAAAAGCATTGAAAAGATAACTGATTTCTGTACGCATACTATGATTATGATTATGGCTATGAAAATCGATTTAAGCACTCAAATAAGACTAATTAATTAGGCATTGTTTTATAAAATTAGTGAAAAACTATTAGTTATTTTTACGAACGAAAAGAAAATTGATTTTAATTTATTTCACTATTTTATTTTTTATTTCGCTTTTTATATTCAATTTATTTAATTGTGTTATCAATTTTTATTGCCTTTACAATGCAGATAATGTAATGTTTAAATGCAAACAAAATATCGATTTATAATATATATAATAAATGCAAATATATAAAACTATATTGCTAGTAAGCTATTGATTTTATTTAAATATTATTATATACTTTACAATGCAGATAATGTAATGTTTAAATGCAAACAAAATATCGATTTATAATATATATAATAAATGCAAATATATAAAACTATATTGCTAGTAAGCTATTGATTTTATTTAAATATTATTATATTATTATATATTTTATTTAATAACATTCACTTAAATATATATTTATAATATATATTATATATATATATTATAAATATATATTAAATATATATTTATAACAACTATTATCATGTAATTATATTTTGATGGCATTTACATTTAGCGCAAAAACTCGAAATACTTCTGATAAGTGACCCAAAGGCAGATCCCGATCACATTAAAGCCGCTAAAAATCCAACCACTGATAGCCAG